CGAGGCATCCCCAGTGGAGTAAATTGGGGCATTCATGGCATCCATGTCCATCTTTTATCCCCAAGTGATTCAAGAGGTAATTCCCCAGTGTGGCGTAAACTTGGGGCATGTATCCGGAGAGATTCACATGGTGTTTAGTGTTCATTCTTCGACATATTTAGTTCTACCATCCTCTCAAATGTTCAGGATGCAGGGGAGTCAAACCAAATTATCTCTTCCCCAACAACACAATTCAGAATTCAGCGGTGTACCTGTAAACTCGCATCGTCCGCAATTCAATCGTCAACAAAGTCATCAATAATATGCGGTATCATGAGCTCCCCAGTACAAATTCTTATCAGCATCCCCAACAACCTTTGCTACTACAGGTTTCCAGCATCGATATGTATTGGCATACCTAATGATGAGCAAAAATTCTGAACAAGCCTCCTCTTATCCCTATGAAATCTATTTCTTTGCATTTGCATATAGTTATCACTGCATAAGATTGCATCCTCAAAAGTGCGTAGCCGATCCATCATAATGTATCTTTGCGGAAAAAGAAGTTCAAACATTCATACGAAGCATAAGCCAGATCAGGTACCATACACGAAAGACCTAAATCATTCAAAGAAAATAATACATCCCCACAAGAGGGTATCACTTCAAAAATCCCCACCAAATGACCTTCACCTTCATGATGCCCACCTAACGGTGCCAGTACCTCATCCACATATTACCAGCAAAATCAATACACCTTTTCATACAAACCAATTTCTCGTATGGTAGTCATTTCCCATCTGACAATCAATCCTAAACCCAATTCTTGCCTGGTAGTCAGTTTCTGTCTGACAAATAATTCAGTCTTCCAACACTCGTCTGGTTCAGTTTCCTAAACACCCATCTGTGTCGGTTTCCTAAACACTCCTTTGTGTTAACTCCTAAAAACTTATTCGTGTCAGTCCCCCAAACACTCGTCCGTGTTTAACCTTTCTTGATACTCGTTCGTATCTTCTTTTGATACTCGTCCGTATCGATTCAAACACTCGTCCATGCTTAACCTTTCTTCATTCTCGTCAGTATCTTCTTTCAATACTCGTTCGTATCGATTCAAATACTCGTCCGTGTTTAACCTTTCTTCGATACTCATCCGTGCCGATTCAAACACTCGTATGTATTATACTCTTCCTAGTATTGGTATCATGCTATGTTACAAGTATTCTTTGTCCTTGTGTTTACATCATGCTACCTTTCAACACTCGTCATGTCAATTTCTAAACACTCAATGTGTCCTGATCGACGTCTTCCTTTGGCGATCATGTACTGATTGATGCCATGCTGTAAGTTATCGTGTCCTGATCGATACATCTCCTGTTAATCATCGTGTCCCGATCTGTGTATTCATGTTAGCCATCGTGTCCTAATCAATGTCTCCCTTTTGGTTATCGTGTCTTGATCGATGTATTCCTGTTAGCCATTGTGTCCTGGTCGATGTCTCCCTTTTGGTTATCGTGTCCTGATCGATACCTCTCCTGCGAATCATCGTGTCCTGATCGATGTATTCCTTTGGAGATCATGTCCTGATTGATTCCATCCTACGAGTTATCGTGTCCTGATCGATACCGCTCCTGTGAATCATAGTGTCATGATCGATGTATTCCTATTAGCCATCGTATCCTAATCGATGTCTCCCTTTTGGTTATCCTGTCCTGATTGATACCTCTCATGTGAATCATCGTGTCTTGATCTATGTATTCCTATTAGCCACCGTGTTCTGTTCGATGTCTCCCTTTTGGTTATCATGTCCTGATCGATACCTCTCTTGTGAATCATCGTGTCCTGATCGATGTATTCCTGTTAGTCATCGTGTCCCGATCGATGTCTTCCTTTTGGTTATCGTGTCCTAATTGGCACTCTTCTGCGAATCATCATGTCCTGATCAAAGTATTCCTGTTAGTCATTGTGTCCTGATCGATGTCTTCCATTTGGTTATCGTGTCCTGATCGACACCTCTCCTGCGAATCATCATGTCCTGATCGATGTATTCTTGTTAGTCATTGTGTCCTGATCGATGTCTTCCTTTTAGTTATCATGTCCTGATCGATAATCTCCTAAGGATCATCGTGTCTTGATAGACGTATTCCTGTTAGTCATTTGTCATGATCGATGTCTTCCATTTGGTTATCGTGTCCTGATCGATACTATCTTGCGAATTATCGTGTCCTTATCGGTGTTTCCCTCTCAGTCATCGTCTCCTAATCAATGTATACCTTTCAAACATCATGTCCTAATATGTGTTTTCCTCTCAGTCATCGTGTCCTGATTGACGTACTCTGATGTTGTCGTGTCCTGATAGATGTATACCTTCGGTTTAGTCCCACTTCTTTTAATTCCCCAATGGATGTTGCAAAAATAATACTCATTACCACCATCTTTTAGAATAAATTTTTGGCATTGGTATTTAATAATCTTTTACCTCGAACTTCTGAAAGGCACATGCCAATCGTACTTTCATGTTTAAGATGATTAAATAGGGGCAGCTATAATACCCCAAATATTTCCTACCCTCTCACTTTTATCTGGCTTATGCATTTCACAATTTTCTCATGTACATAACCTTCATTAGGTCAGCTAACACGTCATGCATCATTAATCAATAAACTTGTTATGGGAACCAGGATCTTGAAGTTAGGTTATTCTCTATGGCTTTGATGGCTTCCATCTTCACTCAGGCTTGAATCAATTGGTTTCCCAGTAACTGTGGTTTGTGGAGCTAGGGTTTTTATGTTCATGATCACTGAGAGTTTTATTCTCATCAAGATGCAAAGATCATCATGTTCTCTGCTAAAGGATTGTGACTTGTTAATGCAGGGATTTTCATCAAAACCTAAAATAGAGACTTTGCAATCTAGGGCTTGGGCCTTCTCAGCATCTCAAATGCATCTCAAGAGGATTAGGGTTTATCCCTGGTGATTGCGCTTGTTAATTCAGTTAAGGTTCATCATAGGTTCTCTCTTCTGCTCCAAGTATCCTTTTTAGTTTCAAAGACTCTTCAATGCATTTTTGTCATGTTGAAGTGAAATACAATTACAAGTAATGGCAGGGGAGATGAACTTATCGACTCATTCAGATTAAGGAAATTCTGGTTCTCATCATTGTTACTTGTCGTTGGCAATATAAGTTGGTTTGGAATTTAGATTGAATTGGAGTAATTGATCTGGATTTCTTGATTGGTGAGTGTTCATTCAAGTTACCTAATGTGTTTAGGTAAATCAAATTTTGCTCACAAAGTTGAAGAGTTCGTGGATAAGGTTTTCTTAAGGGGTATTCAAGTGCCATTCATCATTGTTCAATCTTATTTCGCATAGCCAAAGGTTCTTTCAAAATCAAGACATAATAATTCATATATGGGTGCAAAGTCAAAGGAAATTGTGAATTCGAGTTCTAAACTTAGAAAGGAAAATCATGTTGAATCTTTTGAAAGAAGTATCATGTGAATTCAAAGATTCATGAGGCATGCTTTTAGATTAAAGTACCATGGCTTCAAATATCCAATACATCATCATACATTTTCCAATTGTCATGGCAATTTTAAGTTGTTACAGAATGTCATGGTTCATCCAAGTTCACCATGTTGCATTCCAGGTTTTGATCATAATTCCATTCATACATTAGAAATGATCCAGGACCATCTTAATCTACCATGCAAAAAACCATACTTCCATTACAAATCCGGTCCAAATACACTATTGTTTTAACCATTCCATTACAAAAAAATACACATCAGAATTCACATTGAAATACCTAAAGTCTACGTATCCTAAACCTAAGGATCTAAGCATTACATTTATTAATCTTCATGGCCATGTACATGTTGCATCGATAATCTTCATGCCTCATATCATAAGCTGTCGATATCGCACCTTCCTTGCCCAAGATCTATCCAAACATCGCAAAAACCTGCATAAACCAGTATAAAAACATGTATTACATTAAACCAATCCACATTAAAATAAGTTTAATAATTACACTTGAAACCGGTTCATAAAATCAATACCAAATTACCAAAACCAACATAACACTCATAGATCCAGGACCCCGCAGAAAAATTAGACCAAGGAAACAACTCAACTCATAAAACAATTAACCAATTCCCTTAACTGTCCAAAACAAAATTTCCTAACCGCATAACCTATAACCACCTAACTAATTTTCCAGTTGTTCTTAAAAGAAATAACCAACCCCTATTTCAATGAACCAATCAACTTTTAACCGATTAACAACTCCTAATTGTCACAATCTTCTAAATGTCCACAACCCTGTAACTAATTTCTAACAGTAACCAAGCCTAAGAAAAAAACAGTTGAAAAAACTACAACTAACCTCCAAATATCCTCTAACTGCTTCTTAACAGACTTCAAAAAATATAGAACAAAATGTTTTTTTCTAACAGAAAGGCTAACAGAACCTAACTAACTAACTCCTAACAGTTTCTAATAAATATCTAGCCAACTAATACTTCTAACTCTCGCCAACAAATTTCTAACGGAAGAATGTAATAGAAGAAGGGAGGGATGTAACAGATTCATAACAACAATTAGAAAAAAGGATTATGATAACAGAAGAAATCAGTTTTAGAAAAGAGTTCACCAGAAATTTTTGAGACCACTTCTTCGGCCCTCTCTCTCCTCCATCCTCACCATTCAATCATGTAACAGAAAGTTGAATCCAAGGGCTGAGATTAACTTTTATGTAACAAACTCCAAACTGTATAAGCCTTAGGTCTTCAATCTTCATTCATTGACAATTTTATAAAATCACGAAGAAATCTTCACTCTTCTTGCCTCTCATCTTCTCTCTTTGAAGATTAGCCTTCACCCCTGAACCTCCGGCTTCAACCGTTCTCGGAAAAAAACTAAGAACCTTTCATTGTCACCTTCTTCAACCTACACCTCAACCTTCGATCTCTCGGCATCATCATCATTGTAGATGCACGTTGCTTCCTTCATCTTCGTCTTTATATGCTTCACATCAATGTGATAACAACTGCAGCAACAACTCCTTGTTTCGCTCACCAACATAAACGCTTGGCATTAACAACCACAATTCAACACCTATCGTCAGATAGGATTTTAGAGAAGAAAGAGGAAGAAGACATGTTTGCAGAAAATGAAGAAATCACAGTTCATTACTTGAAGAAACGCAAGGATATCTGGAATTTCGATAATTCCGCAGACTTCAAAGAATCGCCGGAATAGCTCCGGTAGGTAAGCCATTTTCTTCACTTTCTCGCATCAATCGTTATACCGTTGTGTAGCTTGTATACCTCCGAACAAAAACCCTAAGCATATGGCTCGATTGAACACGGAGTCTCGGTTCAATTTCAGATTGTTCAGTTAGTTTTTGTTTGGATTTGAACGATTGGTTTTAGACTTAATGCAAACAAAATAGAGGTTTGAAAATATGAGGCCAAAGCAGGATTGTTTGCGGTGTTGGTCGGCGGTCTCAGTGAAGAAGATGGATTGAACGGTGAGTTTAGGTTTCAGCGCTGTTGAACAAGGAAGAAGCTAGCCCTATGGAGTTGAACGAACATAAATTGCTAAATCTAAAAGACACTCCAAATGTATTGTTTTTATGTGTATCATTTGTTTTTTTATCCAGTAACGACCTTAGTGAATAAGTAATGATGTTGTTGGGTTGGACCACACCCTGGACCAAAATGACTTTGCTAAAGCCCATTCGGTGTTTTGAGCCTAGTGTTGAAATAAGGTTGGAAATGGACTGAACTTTTTCAAGCCTGTAACACTGTTTTTGGAACCTGTTGTCTTGTGAATGCAAAAAAAGAAAGTGTTATTGGATTATACAAATTGGGATTTGTGCCATTATTGCTAGAACCATACATCATGGATTCCATTTCTTTGTGCCATTAATGCTAAAACCATACATCCCAGATTCCATTTCATACCTCCTGACTCTTCCTAATTGTTTTAGGATTTCTTTTCAATTTTTCAATTTTTATATTTTTAATGATAGAAAAACTACAAAATCAATAAAATTTAGACCTTTCTTAGCCAATTTTTAGGAATTAATTCTTAAAGTTTTTTTTAATAGAATTTTTCTAACATAAACAACTAATAATAAAAAATACTTTTTCTTTCTTGTTTTCATCCGTATTTTCATGCCGCGTTGCCATGTTATTTTTGACGTGTTTGTTCATTGTGCAAGGTACACTATTTTTATTTCGATCATGTAACAAAACATTTAGTTAGGTGATCAAAGTATACATCTTATGCTCGCTTGCAATGTGACGTGCCTTATTTATTATCGTCCTGAGAAATTCATATTATATTTTATGTGGTCCTGATACATGTGATATTTTATGAGCTTTGTATAGGAACTTCTGATTACGCATTTCATTCGCAACACGCGTTTGCCTTTATCTGAGTTGGATATCATTTCTAACTTTGTTTGTTTCTTGGCGAAGCTTGCTCAACGCACACTCCCTACTTCTCCATTTATTTCGTCCACTCTTGACGATTTACATGCTTTTGGTAGTCGTCGCTACTACCTTTGTACTTCTCTGCACTTTACTGCACTTCTTTACCGCTTTTCTAGAAATCATGAGAAGTAGGGTTTTACTGATTTATGATGCCATGAGAAGTAGGGTACAAATGTATGACGGGGGTCTCCATTTATGATCATGTCAGGAACCCCTTTGGTTTATTTAAATACCCATTTAGGGAAATTACGCATTGTGTGCATTCTATTTGCTACTTGTGTGTGGTTTGTTTAAAACCCTGCCTTTGAGTAGGTATTCTGCATGTGTGTTTACATTTGTGCCCGTATTATTCCCCCATCCGTTATTGAAGTTCTCAAATGGAGGCGAGCAGGGAGGGTTAGCAATCAACCCCCGTAATTTTGCCTGTGTCATCCTTAGCTCGTGACGTACCATGAAGCTTCAGAGTTGTGCCTGCTCTTGTTATCGTGTTGTCAAGTGGGGAAGGGTTCCACAATCGAACCCCTATGCTTTGTCAGGAGTTCGTATTGGCCAATGCTGATACTCTGTGATTGTTCATATTGCCTTGTGTTAACTACCTCGATCTTCTATATCTGGGTTAGGTGTTCAGTCGCTTTGGACATCACATTTTTGTTTTTTTCATCCCATTCCTGCTTGTTTGTCTCGGGTGATACACTCCCCTTGGCTAAATCATTTTGATTCTTTTCCTTATTCTTTTGATGTGTGTGCTCTTTCGATCTTGTTTGTTTACTTGCTTTCCATACCATGTTCCCTTAGGATGTGCTTGCTCCTTTCGGACGCAAGTTAGACCTTAGGTTGTAAACCATGCATGCTAACATTGGGTAGACGTTTCCCTTTTTCTAATCCCAACTTTAGGACAACTATTGTATAATAAAATTAGGTTTAGAAATAGGCTAGTCTCCCTTTGACTTTTCTTTCCCCTTTTGCATTTGCATTAAAGCAAAAACTTATTTTTCCTTTCAAACTTCAAAACACTTTAAAATTACTGATGAGAATCATACTTTTGTTGAGTATGGGAGACGATAAGCGGGTATCTTCTCGATCTTATTGTTCTTCCATCTCAGGCCTAGGCATGGTTCAAGTCTTAAAGACTCCTTTCATGGATAAGTGGGAAACTGGCTAATATCTCTCTCTTGAGGTTAACTAGTCATTATCTGCAACAAAAAATACAAAGCAATCAAGTGTGGCATCTTTCCTCGAGGGCGTAACTCGAAACCATTTTCAGTAAGGACATGTTTAATTTACTTATGTGCCAATGCATAAGTCTCCAAAAGCCGAACTACGGTAGCTCTGATTACCCAAAAAGGATACGTAGGCATTGGGGTAGGGCCCAAGCAAGTACAACATTCTTTTCCCTACATTCTTTTCTCCTTTCTTTTGCATGCATTCTTTCTCAGTAATAAATAGTAAGCTTAGATTAAACACGCCCATAAGATAGACAACAAGAGTGGATACTGTAGAGTATTATGGGTGTGTGGGGTGCTAATACCTTCCCCTCGCGTAACAAACTCCCTTACCCGATCTCTCGGTCGTAATACCATGACTTCTCCCTTCCCAGGTCTTCTCTCTGTTTACATTTCCTTTCATGTTGGATAAAAAACGTTCGATGCGGACTTCATTGTTTGATGATTTTCAGCCGGTTGTTCCAGCTGGCGACTTCATTGGGGATAGGTCGATCAATTGCTGGTCTATCCCGGAGTGGCTCCTAGCTCTTGTTTTCTTCTCTTTGGGTGTTTATTTATATGCTTTAAGTTTATTCATCCATACATGATTACCTGAGCATATGTATGCATTGCATTTTATTGTTTTCCATATACTACTACTGTTTTGGATCTGCTTCTTGATTGGGTTAGGATGTTACTATTGAGGTAAAAGGCCCAATACCCAGGCCAGAGTGCACTAGGACACTAGGAATGGAGTGGGGGCATGACGGCTATAGGACGTGGTCCGACTAGTGCAGTCATGTCACACACCACGCTCGAATGAGGTTTAATTGGAGGTATTTTCATCATGCACGTCTTTGTTGCGATGATATTACTTGCAAGTGAACCCGTGATTTTCGAGTTACCCTTGCCTTACCCTGGCCTATTTTTAACCAATGAGTGGGGAGGGAATTATTATCACAAGTACATATGGTGACTATGTTCAGATGGTTACTCATGTTCAGATGGTGGTTATTTGTTCTAATGATTATGTTCTGGATTTCTGTTGGTGACTAGGAGGTTCTCATATTTATTTTCTGAGTTCCGAATCTGATGATCACGAGGTTCTTCTGGTTATGTTCCAAACCTATAATCCTGGTAATAGAAGACTATGCAAAGACACTACAATAGAAATCTGCAACATGGAAGTACATATTTGAAAAGCCAGCTTTAATAGAAAGAGTTGCCTATTGTCAGACGATGTTAACAAAATATGACATCCAGTATGTTACCTAGAAAGAAATCTAGGTCAGCGTGTTATCATATTATTTTTTCCACCATCAAATGGATGATTATCAACTCGTGAAATTTGATTTCTCGGATGAAGACATTACGGGAGTATCAGATACAAAATAAGGACCCGAACCAGGAGCGTGATGGACGCTCATGTTTGATGGTGCCTCAGATGCCTTGGGACACGGCATCGGAGCAAACATTACTTCCCCTCCAGGTTTTCACCTTCCGTTCACTACAAGAATTTGATTTGACGCCACCAACAATGTTGCGAAATATGAAGCTTGCATCTTTGGTTTGGAATTAGCCATTGACTTAAGAATCAAGACTTTGGCAGTATATGGAGAGTCAGCCTTGCTAATCTGCCAAAAATCAATGGATATTGGGAAACCCGTCACCCCAACTTGATCCCTTATAGAGAACATGTCATGAAACTAATTCCTACTTTGATGAAATCACCTTCAGCAATATTTTGAGAGAGGAGAATCAACTGGCCGATGCCTTGGCCACCTTGTCTTCCATGTTTAAAGTTTAATGGGCCAACGAAGTGCCTAGCATCAGAATTGAACGATTGGATGAACCAGCTTACTACCTTGAGTTGGAAAAGTCTGAAAATGACAAACCTTGGTACTATGACGTTCTAAGGCACCTTGAAACACAAGAATATCTAGAGGGGGCTTCTACAACTGATAAAAAGACTTTATGGAAGTTATCATCCAAATTCCTTCTTAGCGGTAAAGTTCTCTACAAAAAAAAATAATGATTCAGTGCTGCTCAGATGCGTGGATAGACACGAAGCAGCTAAAATCATAGAAGAAGTACACGAGGGTTCCTTCGGAACAGATTCCAGTGGCCACAACATAGGCTAGAAAATCTTGAGGGCAGGATATTATTGGACTACTATGGAAACTGATTGCTTTCATTACGCGAGATCTTGCCACAAATGTCAATCTACGCAGATAAAATAAATGTACTGCCAGTACCTCTGAATTTTATGACTTCTCTTTGGCCCTTTACTATGTGGGGCATTGACATGATTGGCCTAATCGAGCCAACTACTTCCAATGGTCACTGCTTTATCCTAGTTGCCATCGACTACTTTATTGAGTGGGTAGAAGCTGCTTCATACGCCAACGTCTCCAGACAAGTGGTTGCCCGCTTCGTCAAGAATCAAATCATTTGCCGCTACAGAATTCCTGAAAGGATCATTACTGATAATGAATCCAACCTCAACAATAATATGATAAAAGAGTTGTGCCAAAACTTCAAAATCCAACATCACAAC